ATTTCTTTGCGAGGGACACAAAGCTTTAATAGGTGCGCCACCGGCCTCGCCAAAAGGCGACTCAAGAACTCATCCGTTTTGCACATCCATTCTTTGGTGAAATCAACCTTGCTACGTGGCCGTGTACATCCACTCACGGTCATCCATCCTCTAACATATGTATCAGCGAGTAATATAAGCATCAATTGCATCTACACGGTGTTCCTACCATCTAATAGGTGAGGATAGGTCCTAATCCCACCCAGCGGATCGCGTAGATGAGATTAGTTTTCATGATCTACTCCTATCTAAGAATGAATTTGTGCAGCACCTACCGTTGTTCTCCAAATACATGTCCCGACAAGGAGAGTGTATCCGGAGGAGAACAACGGGGGAGGTGATACCTTAGAAGCTCTATCTCGGATAGGGAGACCATGAAAACTAATCCATCTACGACCAAACTATCCAAAAAACGTGGACAATTGAAACACATACGACTATCGATATGCAAAGATTTACATACCTCCAACCGTATGTATTTTGAAGGAGACGCCTAAGCTGAGCTTCGCCACCTACAACCATGATCATGGAAGAGGGGTTATACCTAAGGTGGCGGTGGAGTCGAGCTAAGCGGGGCCGTGGAGGGTCGGTGCGTTGGTGGCGAGGCAACGCGGTGCGGAGCAAGCCGACACCCGGTGAGGAAGGCGATCGGGGTCGCCTCTGCTCCTTTCTCACCTTCTTTTTCCTGCAAATAAAAACAAAACAATTAAGATGTCTAAAAATTTTGGCAGCACCTCCCTTGTACGGTGAGATTCTCAAAACCTGCAATGAACCAACGCCACGATGGCCGCTAAACACATATATATCAAGGGAAGCAATTACATCTACTAACACAACAACAACTAGTACTAACACAATCACGGCCAACATCATCATTTATCCATCCTATGCATATTTGTACCACTACTTGTCGTACACCATGTATCGAATACAAAAGTGGTCAGCGAACCTCGTCGCGTGCTAGTCGTCGATCAAAGAGACAGCGTAGTGTCGGGACAGGCTGCAGTGAGCGGCGGGAGGCACTGCTTGGAACAAGGCGGCGGCTTATGGGGGCGGGGCACGAGCAAGACGTCGGTGGGCGGAATATGTCAAGCGAGGCACCGGGCAGACGGGAGCAGATCGATGGGGCTTCCTCTTCTCTCCACCTTCCTCCTCTCTCTGTTCCCTCCTCCTCCTCTCTCTACCGTTGCTCACCTTCTCCACAGGGCCAGTGACCAGGCGGCTGAGAGACCAGCCAGGGGCGGCTGGGGCCGGCCGAGGCACGCCCGTGGCCGTGCCTTTCCTTGGCGGCCGAGGGTGTGGGGTGGGGCATGACACCTTGTCTGCCGGACCGGCTGCTGTGGGGGCCCCGGGACGGCTTGAGGGCCTTGGCGGGGGCAGCCACGGGCCGCCCGTGACCAAAGCCTTTCCCGCCGAGCAGGCCGGACTAGGGCGTCGGTGGCCATGTGACAGCCTCTGGCGGACCGGCGGGCGAGGCCCCCACGAACAGACAGCAATGGAGGCGGGTGGGTGTGGAATGGAGGGTGAGGCGGGCGCCCACTGCCGGGTAGAGGCGTGCTTATTGGCAATGGCGGCAGGCGATGGCTGGCCGGGTGGTGTGGTGGGCCAGGCGAGCAAAATTTTTTATTTGAAAGAGCTCGCGCTCTGGGCTGGGGTTCGGGTTGGGTGAAAGGATAAGTTAAGTGTTGAATATCACGCTTTGCCTAGTGTCCAGGATCTAACACTAGGCAAAAAAAAATTTATTTGTAAAAATAGAGTAAATACGGCACACCTCACTTCTTTGGGTTTCTTGAAGTGTCTCCGGTAGTACGGTTGTAAGAAATACCGTACTTCCGGTCTTCACAAAACAGTGGAAAAATGACCTAAGCGGTACTACATTGTTTGACCGATAGTACCGGTATGACCCGGTAATACCAAGGTGACATCCGATGAGTTCGTACCCGGTGTTTTTGCTCAAAAGCCCGACCTACCCGGTAGTACGGTCGTCTACCCAGTAGTACCCGGCTGTACATCTCCACTACTGGTCTTCCAATCGAGCGAGTTTTTGACTTCTTGGGTAGTCTGCAAGGTACTCTCACCGATAGTCCGGCACTGAGCGGTAGTACTTAGGAAGTTCATCGTACTACTGAGTCTTCATAGTTGTCTTGGTTTTTGGCCTAGCGGTAGTACCGGTCTTCTACCGGTAGTACCGACCGAGTCAAGTAGTATCGGTCTTCTCTTGATTTGCCTAATGTCCTAGATCGACACTAAGCAAATATGAATGTTTTTGAACCATGATTTTTTTGAAAATAAAAAACACTCAAACAATATAAACTGAAAATTAACTTTTGCCGAGTGTCGATAACCCAACACTAGGCAAACACTATAAAAAATAAGTTTGCCTAGTGTCTTCCATGAGACACTAGGCAAAGAAACGATTTGCCTAGTGTCTAGTGTGGCACACTAGGCAAACTTATTTATTTATTTTCAATTTTGGTCTTCAAACTTTTATCGAGCCTCCCTACATAAAATGAGACTACATGTTGAAAGTTGGCACAATTTTATGAAATTTTGCTATATTTCTTTAGTTTATTTAATTTCTTTGAATTTTTTTTGACAAATGCAAATTTGAGCGCAAGTGTGTCGAATAATGGCAATTCATGAATGCAAAAATGATATTCATGTTAGTAAGTGTTAGTTGAGGCCGTATCCGAAAGCAGGACCAAAAATTTCACACATCTTCACGTCGAGACATGACCCACGAACTTGCGAGCAAATAGTTTTAAATTCTATTAAATGAAAAGCGAGTCTGAAATTCATGAAACTTGTCGACAAGTCAAGATATCGCATGCAGGTACCATGATAAAAATTTAAAAGATTTCGAGCACATCGTCACGTATGATGCTTAGAAACCCTAACATCTCCACATGTCTCGACGTGAAGATGTGTGAATTTTGGAGAACTTACTAACATGAATATCATTTTTGCATTCATGAATTGCCATTATTCATTATTACTTTGCGCTCAAATTTGCATTTGTCTAAAAAATTCAAAGAAATTAAATAAACTAAAGAAATAAAAAAATTTCATAAAATTGTGCCAACTTTCAACAGTTGGTCAAGGTATAGTAGGAAAGCTACAAAAAAATTGGAAGCTAAAATCAAAAAAAGAAAAATATTTTGCCTAGTGTCTCTGTAAGACACTAGGCAAGCCTAACCAATTGCCTAGTGTCGTCAGGAGACACTAGGCAAAGTTCTAATTTTGCCGAGTGTTAGCGGAAGACACTTTCGGCAAAATGGTAACGGCGGTTGCCCTCCGGCAGCCTTTGCCGAGTGTGATGGTATGCCTAGTATTGACACTAGGCAAAATGGTCATTTACCGAGTGAATTTCTTTGCCTAGTGTCGACACTCGGCAAATAGTTATTTTGCCTAGTGCCTTTATTTTGCCGAGTGCTCCGGGGTCTAACACTTGGCAAACAAGCTCTTTGCCTAGTGTCCGACGATTGGCACTAGGCAAACCAGTAAACACTAGGCAAATCTCGGTTTTCCAGTAGTGGTACTGTGTTCTTCGAATGATTCATTACTTTCTCTAGTTTAAATTAGTTTTTGCATGCCTATGGTCACTGCTGGTTTACAAATAGGACCGGTAAAATATAGACATTCTTGATATAAACTTGGATGTAACACAATATAGACATTATGAATTAGAATCATAGGCAAAATTTGTAACAAAACATTTAGAGACTATCCCAATTAGCACTAAGCAAACTAGAACTAGAATACACTTCAATGGAACATGAATTTCTACTCCAATTCCAACTAAAGAAACGAATTCTTGTGAGTTCTTCATCCATGGGCTTCTTCTAATTCACCTCTCCATGCAAAGGTGCACTGTCAACCTCCTGATCACCCAAAGTTTTTACCATCTAAACATATTCATGCTCTCAGTACCAGCATGAGCATCCACTACCACCACACTAAAAAGAACACCAAAACATGAACTTGAATCAAAATCATCTCAAAGAAATGGCCATAAATCATAGAAAACGAGGCCAACAAGACCTAACCATTTGATCTGCACACTGTAGAAGATGCATCCACAGTTGGGATCTTCCTTCTTCACCCTAAACTGCAACACACTGTGTTGCTTACATCTACACGTAATGAGAGGAGCTCCAATCTGAGTCATAAACTCCATGTGCGACTTGAGGGGCCTGGACAGGTGTGCCATCTATACGACAAGGGTTGGCTTTGAATTGGTTGCAACAATGGCGACAAGGACAGGAGATTGGTGATGAATGGGTCAAGAAAACCAAGTACACATCCAGCAAAATAAAGGATTGGACGGATATCACTACCGGTTCAAAACATCACCGGATAGTGATCCTAGAGCACCACTGCCGGTTGAATCATTGACCAACAGTGATACTAGAACATCACTAACAGGTGAGGTTTTAAACTAGCAGTAATAGTGGAGCATCACTGCCGGGTGAAGCTTTGACCGGGCAATGAAAGACATTTATCGAATTGTCTTTTCAATCAAAGAAACATTGCATCACAATTACACGGTTTGGGAAAATGACTATAGCTACAATTACATACAGACAAAATAGAATGTCTCTAGATGACTAAAATAGTGTATGTACACAAAGGAAGCTAACGTAGGAGTCTTCCAGTGCCACCTCCTGGGATCGAAACCTGATCACAGGCTTGAGGGGTGGCTTATGTTGTAATAGATTCTCCATATGTATATGCTTCTTTGTAATACTTAACTTGTCACATTATATTGTATTACTACCAGACAGGAGTACTATTTATCACATCTTTATAGTATATTGATACAAAACAGGCACTACTTATTACAGCTTTGATAACATATAGTTTTGTGTTTCTATGAAATTTCTTAGTAACACATTGATGAATGTTGAATGTGCTGCACGTGTGTGTTGTAATATGTATGTTTTGTTGTAATACTGGGTGGATCAGTGCTCGGTTGGTGGTCGGATGGCCATGAGAGCCTGCATGACTGTGGACAACGCAACCATGGCAGAAATGATGAGTAGAAGTATTTTGACTGGTCTGTTGATGTAATTCTTCACCTCTGCCAAATCACGGTACACATGCAACACTCTACATTTCCTCAGATCTTCCAGCACACCGTCAATGGGAGTCTTTCCGCTTCGCCGGTTCCACACACACAAGTTCTTGAAGTAATTGATGACCTGCCATGACCATATAGAAGAGTAAAATTCAGTCACCTAACACTTCTTATATATTTATCCAAAGTTTAAGTACCTCCTGCAATCCTGCTTCGTCCAAAAGTGCACTTTTTCTGAAATATGGAGTATTCAAAATTTGACCCATAGTAGATAATACTAAATATGCTCCCGATGGAGTTTCATTGCATTGCATTATAGATGAGCGAGGAAAACAGTGAAATGAAATTGCAGTCTGACCTTTTTATCGCTTCCAAAGTTGTTGTGCAGTATGCGGAGATTCTGCAGTAGGGTGATGTCCTCCCTCGTGCTGACCAGGTTGTACATGAGGAAGGCGTACGTGGTGCAGTAGTCGCCGCCGTCGTCGGCGCCCACCTGCTGCTCGAAAGCGATGAGGTTCTGCAGCAGCGGCGCCGTCGTCTTCTCCACGTACAGCGGCGGGATCTCGAGCCTCACGCGTTCCTCCATGAAGCGCACGTCGAGCAGCGCCCTGCCGTGGCGAGGCCCAGCAGGCCCCATCGTCGTCGTCGTCGCCCTCTTGATCCAGATGCCCATGGCCGTCAGCTCCGCGGCCGACGGCACGTTCTCCTTGCTGTCACCGTCGCGATCCAGATGCCCATGGCCAGACTCACAGTCGCACATGCACATGCACCGCAGCAGCTTCATCAGCCGGATTGGCAGAGCGGAGATGAAACCCGCAGGTCTCTCTCCGGGGATCGTCGTCGGTGCCCGAGAGCGGCGTCGAGCTGGGCACAGTGTGCCACATGGAGCAGGTGCAGCAGGTGGTCGACTGGCACCTCGGGGTCCACGCCCAGCTCGTCCGTGGGCCTCTTGTCCTGGGGCAAGGAGTAGGACCCTCTGAACATGTACCAGAGAGCCATGTCCAGCAGCCTGCGCCTCTTCTTCTTGTCAGCGCTGCGCGGTAGGTCCCGTGGCGCCAGGTGCTTGAACAGCTCCAGCAGCACGGCAAAGGGGATCTGGTTCTCGAGCAAAGTGAGGTCGCTGCGCAGCTGCACCGGTGCCCACCTCGACTGGTGCAGCTCCTCTTCGTTGATGCCCTTCCCATAGTTGTACAGGTGCTTGAGGATGAAGCACCCATCCAGGAACATCATCTTCACCCACGCTTCCGTCGTCATTTCTACGGAACCAAGATCGGCATAGAACCTAAACAAGGATATTATGCGCACACATTGATTAATACCGTAATAACACGTACGGTGGTAAAATCTCAAATATTTGGTGTGGTGCTATTGGATTTGTATCGTGAAAACAAAGTTAATTCTCAAGAGCACGTAATAAAACTAGAGATTGCTCCGATGGTCCTCTTTTCTAAAAGTTACACGTAATAAAACTAGAGAATTCCAAGACAGAAAAACTCCACTGCAGGTGTACTACCTCATGACGATTCCGCTCCTGGACAGCAGAGGCAAATGCTGCAATTTCCAACTATAACTAGTAGCGTGCCAACCAATTAACTGCTTCTGTTTGCAAAAAAAATCATGATCCAATGCGACACCAGTTGAAGGACTGCACAACATCCTATACGAAAACGTTATGAAGACAAACACGTCGGTGTCCATGACACAGCCATCGCGGTAGCCGTCCTTGTGGACGGTGGACCGCCAACATAGGCAGCGGACGTCCATCAAGAAGAGGCGGATCTCCTCATGCTAAATGGAACAGCACCGAACCGAAGGATTCAGAGGTGGATGCAGGTGTCGCTGTGGATGAGCCGACGAGCCATCGACGAGGTGATCGAGGTCTGCTCCTTGCCGCCGCGTGGGATCGGCAATGAGGATGACTGGATGAGTTTGGCTTGGGTTTGGGTTGGGCATAGGCTAGGCTTGGGAGGGCCGGGTCCATGTGGATCGATAATTAAAAAAATTAATTAATTGGATTGGGTGCATTGAGATACGTGCAATTTTTAAAAAGAGGACTACTGGAGCAGTTCTCAAAAACTATTGTTTGGGAATGAAACTACTCTTAAGGGCACGTTTGACTCTTTTCATTTTAGAGGAATTGAAATTAACTTTATGGACTATGCTATTTGGTTTGGAAATTGACATTCCAACAACTTTCCAAAGTTTAGTTATAAGCTTGTGTCTTACATTCATGGAGTGAGAGATATAAAAATGGACCCCCTATCCTTAATGGACGACACGTTGCATACTAAAATACCCGTGCGATCAACAAATTTATCAATTTCATGTATGGATAAGGCCCTACAAACCATTGTCTTATCTAGATCAGTAGATCAGCCGTGTGATTAATTTTGGATACATGTGTCAGTGTCGTCCATCAAAGGGTAGGGTCCATGTGAGAGAATTAGACCCTGGTCCATACAAATTTAATTCCTTATTATTTACTAGTTTCTACGCATGTTGGAGGAAGCATCGAAATTGTTTCTGGTATGAGAAACGATTTCCTCATCTTTTCTTGTGTCTCCTTAATTCATGTGCCACATCATATTATTACCTATGTGGCAAGTCATTTAATGCTATGGAAACCATCTCTAGTTTTAGACTGCCCTTTCATCATTCGGAGAGCAATTCAGTTTGAAAGCAGGTTTACATTTCTGTATGTAATAATCATGAGAATTTATTCAATGTGTTTGAGGGGTGCTCCCATATGCTAGTAGTTACTTAACAATGTGTTTATTCCAACAACTATAATTTATTCAATGTGTTTGAGGGGTGCTCCCCACATGCTAGTAGTAAAAATTAGGTGGAGCGTATCCAAACACTTAACAATATATGTAGGTAAGTCTTAATGAACAATTAACCCATTAGCTTCTCAAACCTAGCTAAGAGCAATTAATAGTTGGTTAGCCAGCTGCAGCACACATCTCACCAAAGTATTAGCACATTAACCGCGTCCAAAACATCCTCTAGCGAAGTCTTAGCTAATAAAGCTAAAATTATAGCACAAAACAAGCCTAATTAGTACAGCTACGTATATATACTCCCTCTATCTTCTAGTCAGAAATCCTGGCAGAGAGTAGAAAATAGATGGTACACGTAGATGGACAAACTGGCACGTTACTTACTCGCGAATGTCACTGCTCATTTCTCTGAGCCTGTGCTCGCAGGTTCGCCGGAGCTGGTCGCGCCTGGCCTCGACGACATCAGGCTCGGCGTCCTGCTGCAAAGGCTCGGCGTCTTGCTGGGGAGTTGAGCGGCGTACCGCTCCTTGAGCTCCTCGTGGCGGAGGCCGCCATGGTTGTTGTAGTAGTGGTACGGCCCGAAGCACATGAACTTGGGCGCGTACGCGTCCTCGTTAGTGTCGCGCACCCATTGGGGAACTCGCCGGAGCCGGTAGGGGCCCTTCGCGGCGGGTCGCCGGGTCCGGGCTCCGTCACGGTGATGGCCCGCCGCCTATGTGCACCCTCACCTCATGGCTATCGCCGGCGCTCGTGGCCACTACCGGTGGGCTGCTGCTCCTCCTCCGCTATGGCTGCTGCTTCCATTGTTCGATGAGGATGCGTGCATGCATGGCGCGGACCATCTCGTCATGGAGCCGACCGACTCAATTTATAGGCACGCCGATCGAGCTGAGTGGCTTCCGTGGATGGATCTGGTGTACTGGTGTGGATCGCCGTCGTCTACCTCAAGGAACAGAACAGGAGGGAGTTTCGGCCGAGCATAGCGTGTTGCCGGCGGCGATCAGTACGTCGAGAACGAATAAAGCGCGGGGCATTTCTGCTTGGCGTGATGCTGGTGCGATTATACAGGATAAACAAACAAGAGACAGCTTTAGTTTGTTTTCCTCTTCAATCTTCATCATCATCGATCAATCTGAATGCCTTTCTATTTTTGTTTTCTGCTGCTCTGCCGGACGGCCAAGTAAAGGCCAGATTCTTAGCTTGTTAGAACTAAACCCCTTAGCTAGGATCCTTTAGCCTGACAACATGAATGAATATCTTGACTATTCTACCTTAACAAAATGACTTATGAACCATAGCCTTTAAAGCGTGCCTGGATCGAGAAGTCAGCACGATGGCACGACACGACAAGGAACGGATTAAGACATAGTACCTAATAGTACCAGTGTTGTGCTAGTGCCGTGCCACCGTTTGGCCATCTATGGTCCCTTGAGCAATGCCATATATAGAATATATAGTGGTGTCTGTAAACTCACGAGATGGTAGGCTACTTGGCATCGATCTACCATGTTGCCGATCTGTGGGACATCCATTCTTTATCGAGAGAATTTCTTATTTAACACCGGAAAAATGAGTCGTTCCTTTCTTGGCCCTGAAATTTTCTTCGTTCCCTATTTGACACTCATTTTAACTTTCATCTCTAATTTGACACTACCGTCAAATCCGTTAGCTAACGGTGTTAACTGGCTGTTAAAAAGACGTTTTTGCCCCTAGAAAAAAAGCGGCGAAGCAAATTTGAGAGGAAAAAAAAACTTGCGCCCGCCTCGATGCTTGCCCCGGCTGCAAAAAAAAAGGCATTTTTTCCCCTCAAATTTGCACCGCTTTTTTCTCTAGGGCAACGTCTTTTTTTAACTTTCGGTTAACACCGTTAGCTAACGATTTGACGGTAGTGTCAAAAGATGAAAGTTGAAGTGAGTGTCAAATAGGAAACGAAGAAAATTTCAGGAAGAAAGCAAACGACTCATTCGATGTCAAATAAAAATTCTCTCTCCTTTATCGATGACAAGCGGGTCCCGGAGGATCCATTGGACCCATGTAAAAGTTACACCTATCGAACATGAGACATTTTACGTGAAAGAAAAAAACCCTTCAGAGAGAAAACACAAACGCCAACCGGTGACATTCACTATCTCTACCTAATAATAAAGAGGCAAAATTTTCTCCTCTTTTTTGGTACCATTATTTTGGTCCGCCTAGAGTACCTCTAACTACCGTATAATGGAGAGTTTCTTACACGTCGGACTTATATATATAATCCGTGTGCATACAAGTTAGAATAACTCATGTTTAGCACAATACAAAGTCCGATTCTAAAACATATTAGGTCGTGTAAGTGATCCAGACTCGTGATCCAAATCCAAATAGATTTCTACAGTTCTATTCTAAGTAACATGAATAGAATAGAATCATGTTCTAATCTAAATAAAAAAAAGTAAAGTAGCCTATAATAGTAGTAAACTACAAAGGTGATTTGTAGTCCGGACATGCAGATTTGTGAAAGGCATAGCGTACGTGTTCCGTTAGGATTGTTAACCGAGCCGGATCGGAAGTACGATCGACTATTCTGGCCTTGTATTGAAATACTAGCCGTCCTATACCTGCGCATTGGACGGAACTGCATGGAATTCTCCGTGCAAAGTTTAACCTCCCTATCCTTTCTGATTTTTCTTTCTGTTTTTTACCCTTTTTTATGATTTGCCTTTCCCATGCTCTTGCTTCTCTGACTCTTTTCTATTTTATTTTATCTTTAGCTTTTTCTTATATATGAACACAAATCTATACTTCCGTACTTATCCTTTTTCTCTAAATTGATCAATCGAACTAGACACCAATTCATTCATAGCACTGTGTATCCGTGTTGGACTCAAATTCAAGTACGTAGGCAACTCCTTATTCTTGATTGGATCCGTTTAAATATGCATGACGTTGCCTCCTCCGTCATCTCACATGTTGCATGCACCTTCTCTATTTGTTTCATAATAACACCAAAAGGCAGCACCGATCACGTACAAGTATTATAAAATGCATCAACTTCTGCTTATTCTCTTTTTGAGATGTACACTTGCATGCAGCAATCCGAGTCCGGGCAATATATATCAACGGCGGCAATTCAAGCTACCGGAAGGCCCGGATATGTCTGGGCTATCGCCCATAAATTAGCTCATATATGTCTAGGGTCAACGAAAAATTTTGCTAGCTTGTCGTCTCTCTGTGTACTACATACAAGCTCATCCTTCCCTTCCTTTCACAAACAAGTTGGCAACATTATTGGCTCTGAAACTGAAGTTTGTAGACCATTGCCTTCATGCATCTCTGTACTCAGGCTGAGCCAAATTTGAGTGTAAATAGATACCTTCCTCATCTTTAGAAGAAAATGTTATTTATGCTTTTTGAGCCTTCCTGATATAGATGGCCAAACGGCCCACCGGACTAGCATGGCACGGGCTCGATAAAGGCAAGGACTGATGAGGACAGGCCGAGCATGGCATACCGGGCCGTTGGGTTGTGCGAAGAGGGCTTCGTGCCTAGCTATCGACGCCATGGCACGGCACGCCTTGGCCGAATTCTGGGTCGTGCTGACCCAATAAGCCAAACACACCCACATATGAACATTTATGAAGTAACAATAATTGGCTACAAATAGAATATTACAAATATCACACTAAAATGATTTTTTTGCTATGATACAACATATCTGCGCTGTTTCCATTTTCATCAATACCCAATACATTTTTTCTCCCGTGCAACGCACGGGCACGTTTACTAATATATATAATGGGAGTTTAAAACACAGGAAAGCGGGAGGGTGGAAGCGGAGGATGGGAGGGTAGGAGGCAGGGGCAGGCGAGAACCACGCCCGGCCGTGGTGAGGTGGCGGCGGTGGCGAGACTCGCCCCCAAATCCGGCTGAGGAGGCGGAAGTGGCGGGTGGTGGGACAGGCGTGGAAGAGGTTGAGGATGCCGCGCTCGAGGATGCTGTGCTCGAGATCGGCGCGGTGGAGGCGTGGAGGAGGCCGTATGGTGGCGTGGAGAGTCCGGGCGTGCTCGTCTACCAGTGGAGGTGGCAGGTGATGAGGAGTGAGGCGGTGGCCGCCGGTGGTGCTGGCTGCTAGGGCATGGAGGAGCTAAGAGGAGGACTCTGAGTGTGGCGGCTGGGTGGGGATTTGAGAAATGTGTTGAGAGTTAGGCCACTCTGGTGTGGTTGGCTCTTAGCAGAGCCATGGTGGCCACTAGGCTACCAGGGCCTTCCTATATGTTGGGCCGGGCTATGCCATCTGTCGTGCTTGAGCCTAGGCATGGCCCTATACATCGGGTCAGGTTGGCCTGAGCACCGTGAAACACTAGCTAGATCATGTGGGGCTTGTCTTAGGGCCAAAATAGTGGGCTTCAGGACTGGCTCAGCAGGCTGCGGGCTACATGCACATCTATAGGCGTGAGGTGCCTCCTACACTGCTAGACCTAGCTGCAAAAATTTCATTGCAAGCCCATGCAGATACCTGCGCGTTCTGCCTGAGACAGGGCCTGAGAGATGGATGTGTAGTCTGCAAATACAACACCAACCCACCACCACACACACGCAACCCACCCAATCAGGGCAAGGACATGGCCATTGGGCCCGCAAGTGCTTTGGACCTCTCGTAAGTCCAACAAATGCAGGTAAAGCTCTTTGTGGCGGTTTTCTTTTCTTCATTTCTTATTATCAAATCATTATTTATGTTGCCTAAATAAATAACCAATATATATAATAATAAAAACAAGGAGTACCAGAGCAATTCCCAAACCAAAGAACAACTCATATCAAAACAATAATTCTTTTAACCAAGCATGTACAATTTTTTTTTGTGAAACCCATTACAAACGCAGACACTTCTATATTTGAATAGAAAACAAAAACGAAAGCGGTAAAACAGAACACGAAAACGGACACGAAAATACGAAATATCGAGAATTTTGAAAACAGACTAATTCGAGCGAAATTATTTCCATATGTTCGTGCTCGTGTTCGTTTTCATGACCGGCTTTACCACTTTCGCTTTTGTTTTTGTATTGTAGAAGTAGAAAACGGTTAAGGGTTTTCCAACCATTTTATCCCTATTTATACTTATTAAAACTTCAAGTCTGCCTGTTGGGCTCGAAGCCCTCAGTACTGACCTTGTCGGGATATGTTGTTCATATATTATGTGGAGACCTTCTGTTCCCCATCGATGCACAGTAGCTGGCGCAAGAGGCTAGGGATTTATTCCTGGATGGTAATCAAAATATTTTAATTTGGGATGCACACTGTTTGCACAGGCATGGAAGATTTAAATTTCGAATGCACAGTAGCTGCTACAGTCACAGGGGCGCGAGAGGCCAGGAATTTATTCCTGAATTAGGGTAATCTTATTAGGTGGAGACCTTTTGTTCCCCATTGAACCATAAAAAAAAGTGATGAGCTTGGATCTTATCGTGATTTTGTTGTTTCCAATTTCTACAATCCTGAAGTGATGAGCTTGAAAAGTCGTACTCCCTCCGTTCCAAAATAAGTGTCGTTCTTATTTTCCGAGAAACAACTGT